ATTGTTTTGATTTTTGAGTGCCAATGTTGAAAGATGATGTATGTAAACAGGATTGAAATCATCAGGAAGAAATGCCAGTTTATCTTGAATGTAGGTCAGAAACTCAGGCATATATTTGCTTATCATTGGTGATTGAATCAGCATGCAATCAACGATTGCAAGTTTTGCACAGACACGTTGAGCTGATGTTTTACAATTATCAATAAAGATCCAGAGAAGCAAAAGAAGGACAATTGGGGTATCAATTAACCAAGAACCTGAATCATCAATTTTAATTATTCCTTTCGATCCATCTTTGAAATCAATTACATAATCCTTTTCATTGTCTTTTTTGTATGTTTCAATTTCATTTGGCATAATGAACACCATATCTTTTTTATGAATCAAACTATGATAAATACGATCTTGTGCCATAATTACAATGCTTTTCCCAAGGTTATTCATGAATGTTTCTGATTTAATGAGTGCTTGTATTGCATTGAAAAATATTTGCACATTACTGCTTTGAATGAAATTCAATGAACAACTCAAAAAGAATCCTTTTTCTAAATTGAAAGGAAACAGTCCACTCTTCAATTTGGTTTTATTTAGCCCAACAACAGTAACAATTGATGATTTAATAAGTGAAAAACTTGTCGGCCAATCAAGTGATTGTATATCATTAATCGCTTCTTGTGCAAGAATCACACTTTTGAGTTGGTTGCAGATATTGAATTTATTCTTTCTAGTCAGAATTAAATTCATTGATGTGGATCCAAAAAACGGAAGCTTCTCATTAAAGCAATGATCACTAATTATTTTATTATAACAAATGTTCTTTCCTGTTCTTTCATTTTCTTGAGCATTCACTAATTGAAATTCAACAGGATTGATCGATTCAAAATCATCAACAAAGTTGTCCATTTGACTTTCACTATTGAAGATGCTATTTGAGTATTCAACGTTAAGATTATCATCACTATCAAAACGAATTTGTGAAATAGTGAAATTGCGATAATCCATATCAAAAAGAATTTTATCAAGTGAACTTACAATGAACTCAATATATGCGTTTTGTTCAGCAACAAACGCAGCATCATTAACGAAAATTATCGATTGTTCACCATCGATTGTTATTTGTATAATTCCGTTTTCAATAGTCAAAGGATCTTCACTTGTATTGAATGAACCAGATGGAACTTGAATGACAATTGGCTCTTGCTTATGAATAACAATGAATCCATCATCAAGCATAATTGCATTAATTGAAAAATCGCCAAGCTTCATTACATTATAAGCGAACAAATGAATCCATTCTTCTTGTTTTATGACTCCAAAACCATGCTCGTGTTCAGGCAACAAATTAAATGAACTATTGAATCTTTTGTATATCTTTGTTTGATTCGATGAAAGGATGTGGAAATCAATGTATGGTTTTGCTGATTTTGCAAATGACCTAAAGTTTTCTTCTGGTATTCTCTTATTCATTTTAACTATGTATCTTATTAATGTCTCTAAATAAAGACGGCATAAAAGTGAGCCTTGATCTTTCATGCATGTATCCCAAAAAGACAAAATGGTTTCAAATGGTAAACTTTTGTCTAAGTCCAATTCTACATCTTGAACTGGATCTGTTATTTCTTTGATATTAAATGATGTACGCTTACTTAACGGTGCTATAGGAATTTGAAGACAATATTCTTCTTCTCCTTCATTTGAGTATTTCAACCATTTTCCATGACGATTTCTGATTGCATAAAATGATGAGTAATCAGATATATCACCTGCAGTTATTGCAAACAAGAGCATTTTTTCACCTTCACTTGAATCAACTTTTACATTTTCCAACAATTTTGAAAATGAAATTGATAAACTATTTCCTGAATTAAGTATTTCTCTTAATCCGTAGATTATTTCAGGCAATGTTGAAAAGACTAAATTTCTTTTATCCAAAAGATTAGCAACAGTCATCAAATGAATGCTTCATTGAATCTAAATCAAATATGTAACTAAATAAATCAGCAACAGTCAACATTGGTACATCCTTTTTAGAAAAGATAAGTTGTACGATGCATGCTTTTGCAATTGGCGGGAAAACGCTTAATAGTTCAGGTATTGCTGATGTTGATGCTGAGATGCCTGCAACAGTGAAGAAAAATGGATCAGAAAGAATGTTTTTAGGCTTTATGTATTTTGATAATTCATTCATGCATTCTATAGCTTTATCGTTGAAATTCTTACAAGCTTGAAGAACTGTGTAAAGAATTTCAAGAATTGTAATTTGATGGAAATCTTGTAATAATGAAATACAAGACAAGTTAAAGATTGTTAATGTTGTCAAAGCACGTTCATCAAGTTCAGCATGTGATAAAAGATATCCGAGTCTTTCAAAAGAATCAACCCTTGAAATGCCATCAATGATAATTCGATGAAATGTCTGGCTTTGTATAGTTTGAAAGAGTGAATTTAATTGATCAAATCCATTCAGAACATTTTCATTTCGTGTTGGAATTGCTTTTAATATTTTATGGAATTGATACGGATCGTTGTTCTGTATAAATTTCTCTAAAAGTGTGGAGTATCGCGTGCGTTCTGAAGGAGCTAAATCTAAATAATCTGTGAGAACTGGATCCAACACTATCAAAATTCCAAGATTGGCTAAAAATCTATCACTTTGCTTTTGGTACGTTGAAGTACCACTGGAATTCTCATTATTAATATTGTTATTATCAAGCCTTCTTGCGCTGATAAACTTACGTCTCATATTTCTCACCCACATGCAAATATCGTTCAATTCTTTTGGTACTTTAGACTTCTTTTTAACATTAACTTTAGCAACATCACTATTAGTATTATCATTGTTATTATTATTGTCATCATTGTTATTGTTGTTTTCATTATTGTTGTTCTCTTGTATGGATGTAAGCAAGTGATATGTGTTCGTTTGATGCGTGAATGCAGCAATTAAGAAGGAATCAATTGAAGTGTCTTCATTTCTAAGCTTGAAATTTGAAACATTTTTATATAAATATTCCAAATGGTCAGATCCATTTGTGATCACTTCATTATCAAGAGATGAAAGGAAGAATCTTGCTTGGCTGAGCTCTGGTGGAGTCAAATCTCTATTTCCATTGTTGAAGTTGCCATGAATAAGCCATTTGTATTCGTCTTCGCATGGATAAGTAGTTCCACCACGAATGAGGCTTGAAATTGATGTAGTGAAAACCATATCGAAATAGCCAATGAAGAGCTGAAGTTTGTCATCAGATTCAAATTCATCATTGAGTAATCTTATGATTTTCCTAGCATCATCATTAGTTATCACGTTTGCAAATTGAACACATCCAGTAATCGGTGCAGCACAGGCGAAAAAGTTAGATATTAAAGTGTACAACAATGAATCATAATCTAACTTTCTATTTTGTATATTTGGGTTTTCTTCGATAACTTTTTCAAGTACTTTAACAAACTGACACATTAAAAATTGAGCATAAGAACAAAGAGTGGAAATCAATGTGGATTTATTAAGGTTCAAAGGATCTTTTTCAACTATTTCAACAGCTTCTTCAAATGAGTTTTGTTGTGCAATTAATAACACATCAACAAACCATGAATATGGATCTTGATTTCTTGATATGCTTTGCCATTTATGTGTAAATAATGACATGGCAAATTCTTCGTTCATAATTATTTTCGATAGCAAAGATGAATGCGATATTTTGTTCAATGCCCATTCATTGAAAATATCGCCATTTTCTTTGGGTGGATGGTAAAATATCGAAAATAAATGCCCGAATTCAATAAGTCCAATTTCATCGAAGAACAAATCAAAATTATTAATCAAAAGTGCTGATACCAATCTTTTGTATTCACTACAATGCAATAACTTTTCCAATGATGGCAACAATAAACGGGCAACTTCTTTAGATTCATATTTTCTGAAGTTGATATCAATAAGTAAAATTAATGCTTTAATAAGTTGTACGTTTGCTTCATTATTTGTATCCATTTAGCAATGCTTTTCAAGTCAGTTTCAAATGGATTAGAATTAGTGATTAAATTATCAGGAATTGAAGGTGAAAAAGCACAAGGAATCAAATATTTCAATAGACAAGATTCAAAAGAATCATTGTTTAAATTATTTGTAAATTTAAGTCCAAATAAATATGAATCAGGTGCTCCTATATAAGGATGTGAACATATTTTGCTATTGATTCCATCATGTGTAACAGAGAAATAGACACTTGATAAAGTGTCAATTGTTGCTGCCGTAACTTTTTTATTGTAATCTTTAGGAAAACAATCATCTTTGACATATGTGTCTATATCATTTTGTAGATAAGTTGTGACCATTACAATTTTTTCTTCAAAAAGAAGACCAATGAACATTCCGTTTGTGACAAGAGGTACTTCATCAGGTAATCTGCCAAACAATCTTAATAGAAGACTATTCTCAATATTAACGATTATTTTATCACTATCAGCATCAAATATCATTAATGATCCATTCATGTTCATTAAAGAATAAGTTGCTCCGTCGCTGCATGCTTTTACAACTTTTTGAAGCTCTAATCGATCAGCGACTTTAAAGCAAATTTTATCGTCACATGTCAATTGGCTGATTGGAACTTGATAAGTAATATTTTTATCTTTCAGAAAGAACCATTTCTGTGAACAGAAAATGATTGTATTTTCATTTATTGCCCATTCATTAGGCAATTTAAACTTAATAATTAATCTGTTAATCATTCCTTTATAAACCAGGAAAATACTCAATGTTTTTTCTTTAGTTAGTGTAAAAAGAAACTTGCCATTACTGCAAATACCATGTGGCAGAATAGTGCCTTCTACATTCATAGAATGGAGCGGTTCTGATGGCGAAAAGTTCATGCAACATTTTGGTTTTGACTTTACTAAAATGCTTTTTAATTCATCAAATTCATGATCAATTTCGTCCCATTTTAAATCTCTATGTGGAATAAACGCATGACAATTATCATTACCCATTAGCTGTGATAGAATTGGTAATATTCTGTCGATTTTTCTGAACCCCTGGCCTCCACTATGCTAAAGTGGCGCTCTACCACTGAGCTAATCACCCTTCATGCATAACTCGTTATTTAATTCTTTTTTAAAAAGAAAAATGCAATATTATAATTATTTACAAAAATCAACGACGAAGTTAGCATCACTTCCTCATCATTCCGTGGTAGTGATAATATATTTATAAGAACAATCGTATTTGAATTAAGTAAGCATTTAATTTTTTACATATAAAATAAAAAATGACTAATTGTGGATCATTTTAAATCATCGATATCCTTACTTGAAGCAAAGAAGATTCCAGCACAGAACATTCCTTTATCGCCATTTTTCAATTCCTAGTCTTTCATGATACTTTTTGCTGATACATTAGAAGTTGTGTGGTGCATTTTTCTTATTCCCGAGTGAACACTTTTTGTAGAGAGAATAATCCCCAATTTTTTCAATATTTTATTTTGAATTTTACTGTTAAGATTGACTGCTTTTATGATATCAGAATCTTCAGGTGCTTTTTAGAACTTTTTACATTTCAAGCTTAAATGTTCTTTATCAATGATTTCATCTGTATGACCTGCAAAATATGGAATTTGACAATTTTTACAAAGATAAAACAAAACGAAATCTTTTGCATGTTTTCCAGGTTTTTTGTAATACATTTTATCGTTTTAGTTATTGACATGTTTCATCTCTTTAGAAGTATCTTCAATTTGGAATTGAAGAAATGTTGAAGAGTCAATTTCATTACTTATATCTGTCCATTTTTTGAGTGAATCTTTCTCATATTTATGAATCAAATTGTATAAATCTTTAAGACAATGCTTGTGTGCAAGATGACGGTATTTCATTACAGCAGATGCCACTTTTTTACACGTTTCTTTACAAATCACGCAAACAGACAAATTTTTATTACATAATTGACAATCGAAATATTTCTTCTCATCATTTAGATCATGACAATGATGACCACGATTACAAGCATGTGTTGAAATTGCTTTCATCAATTTTGAACATTTTGTTTGGCCAACAAACACGATGACAAATGTCATCATTTTCACATCCAACATCTGGATGCATTTCACAGAAACGACAAACAATCCATTTTCAACAAGACATTGTTCAGAACATGTAAGTCCGTCATTGAATTGATGTCTGCTTCATTTTGCAAAGAAAATTTGTTTTGCATAATAAAGCTTGTCTGTTTTCTTTGAGATATTTGCAAAGTTTCTTGACGAATGTTTTCACCAGGCAGATAATTTGCATTGTATACCACATCACCTGGAATGTGCTCAAAACGTTCTTTACATTTTTGGCAAGATGTAATATTCAATTTTTGTATGAGTACTACTTTTTATTATTTCATTAATAATGAACTGAATTTTAATAAACTTTTTCTCTCATTAGGAGCCTAAATGACCATTAAAACATACTCTACACTGCAATGAACACAATTTGATATAATAAGATAATATATAATGCGTGTATACTCTATATATTTGGCTTTTAATATATATAACACTCTTCATTATTTGATAATAAAATGAAGTGAAAATGACAACTTTTTTTTTTACACAAAAAGTCATTTTTATATAATCAGAAATAAATTTTATCCACACCAAATTAAATTCATGAATCAAAAACAGAAAAATATTGATCAGATTTCTTTATATTATATATTTTATTAATATCAAAAGAATTTATTGAACTAAATATTTTGAGAAGAGCTCTTCTCAAAAATTGACTTACTTCGTTCGTTTTCATTTTTTTATAATATTGATATAGTACATGGCATAAATAACTCATTGAACACTTTTGCAGATCAAAACACTTCATATTTCATTAGATACACTCTTTTCAATTTTTCATCACCGGAAGCATTGATGAGCACGTAAACATATCGTAATGCTTGTTTTTGTTAATATTCGATTATAGACAAAATTATACTAAGTTTTTCCTTCATTTATATAAAATTTATTAAATCACCTGTTCTTTGACATTTTTTAAAAAAGTGATATGAAATATACTTTTTTTTCAATCATTAAAAACTCTTTCAAAATCTTTCAAAAACAAAATTTCTTCATTTTATGATGAGTCATCACTTGCATGATGCGTTATAAACTGTTATAGTAAATATTTAAAAAAGAAAAGAAATAAAAAATAAAAAAGATAATGTTTACTTATTAATCACTTCAGAGTAAATGAAAAGAATAAAAAGAGTCAATTAAGAGTGGCATCACTTGTATGGTGGGATCTTTGCCTTGTGCTGCTTGGCTTTGTTCTTGATTTCTGACACTTGCGACGGTTCAAGAGGAAGCATCCTGTACTCGTTCTCTTCCATGCGAGAAACGATCTCACTGAAGCTCGGACGGTCTTTCGCTTCAGTGCTCAGGCAGTCGCTGACCAGTCGCTTCGCAAACGGAGAGAAACTTTCTGGCACTTCGACCTTTTTGCCTTTGAAGATGTCGCCAATCTTGATCCTCGAGATGTCGCCGCCGTTCAGCACGAAGAAGCACAGAACGCCAAACGAGTAAACATCAACTTTCTCGTCGTAAAATTCTTCCTCGTTGATGATTTCTGGCGCCATGAACTTCTGCGTGCCAACGCCGCGCGTCATCGATGACTGCTCCCCCGTCGTCATCAGACGAGCGATGCCGAAGTCGCCGATCTTGATCATCCCGTCGCTTCCAAAGAGGATGTTCGAAGGCTTCAGGTCGCGGTGGATGATTCCTCGGCTGTGGACGTACTTCATGCCCTCCGCAACCTGGTACAGACAGAAGCCTGATTCAACGCTCCCCAGAGTTTTCTTCTTCACGGCTGTCTCGAGGTTTCCTGCGCAAAACTCCAGCAGCATGCACGGACGGCGATCAGCGTCGCCCATGAAGATGCCATGCGTCTTCTCAATGTTCGGGTGGTCCAGCGCGCACAGCAGTTCGCACTCGCCAACAAAATGGCCGAAGTTTCGCTGGGCTGGCTCGCTCGCGTTCATCTCCTTCAGCGCGTAAGCTTCCCTCTTGTAGACTTTGTACACGCGGCAAAAACCGCCCGAACCAACCTCCTCGCAACGATCAAGACTCTCAATCGTGCTCGCATCAAGAAGCTTCAGACCAACTGTCGGTGCTGCAGGTGGCGAAGTCGATGAAACTTGATCACGAAGTCTCGCATTCTCTTCTTCAAGTTTGCAATTTTTTTCCTTTTGTTTTGTGTTCTCTTCTTTGAGAGCTGCAATCTCTTCCTTCAGTAGAAAAATTTCATCTTTTGTCGCATCTGTCACTTTTTCTTTGATTCGTCTGTTTGGCGTGTTTGCTGGCGGTTCTGTTCCAACAAAAACAAATGAAATACAATTTCCTGCAATGCAGAATGAAGCACCGCCTCTGATCGTTGTCGCAGCTGGTGTGGAAATATCGGAACATGGTTCAGTGGTGAGGAGCTGGCCACAATCGTTACCTCCACACGCGAGGACCTTCCCTTCTGATGTGATGAAAAGTGAATGAGTAACGCCAGCTGAGGCTGAAATGATTTTGTGTTTCAGTCCTGAAATTTCTGTGAATTCGCTGTCTGATGATCGTCCTCCCAGTCCCAGACAGCCAAATAAATCTGATCCGCGGACAAAGACTCGCCCATCTTTACAAACTGCCAGACAGTGCTCAAATATGCCTGACACTTCGATGATTTCTTTTCCTTCAAGTTCTTTCACTATTTCAAATGTCAATTTCCCACCTGCCTCTCTTAAATATGGAACATTTGCACAGAAGACTCGACCACTCGAGCCAGATGCAATGACGAATGACCTGCAGCAGGCGATGCTGACTGGCTTCTCACTCTGTGGAAGGACTGACTTTTCAATATTCTCTCTTCCTGCCTTCATGTCTCCTCTTGTTATATAAAATATTGATCCTTCTGTGTCGACTGCTGCTGCTGTGTGACCACCACCAAAAAGATGAATAGGATTATGACCATTTATGTTCACAAAAACTGGAGTGCCACTTTTGTGTTCTGAATGAACATATGCAAGCTGGTTGTTCTTTGAACTGGAACTAGAAAAAAGGTACAGAGTGTAATAAGCGCCACAAACAGCTGAAATAAGTTGGCAAGGACGACCTTCCTTGTCTTTCAGTTCAAGTCGTTGGGATTCTTTGATAACTTCTTTATTATGTGTTCCAAGGATTCGCCCATCTTCATTGTCACCAACTGCATAGCCTTGTCCTTCGTTAGTGATCCATATCGTGTGATTAGCGCATGCTGAAATTGATAAAAGTGAAGAAATGTTGAGATGGGAGTCGCATGGAGGGCAGATGATTGGAGTTCCATCTGAACTTTGTTTGTTTGATTTTTCTGCAAGATTGGAATATTTGTTATATCCACAAACCTTCATTCAATTATATTTTATTTTTTTCAAAATTGAGAGAAAACAGTTTATCTTTTTTATTTCAAAAAGTTTAAAAATTTTAATGAAAATTTTGTGGTTACATTTATTAAAAGAAATTCATCTTAAGTGACTTAACGGTCATTTATAACGTAACTATATGATGAAAAAATACCATTTTTCCTTTAAAAATAAATGAAATTTAGAGAAACAAAATTCAATTCCGTTCTCAGAAGATTCTAAACCATAAACAATTGAAACAGATTTATTTACCAATCCACTTATTCACAAATCAATTTTATCAAGAATAATACCAGAATTAGAAGAAAATTGTTGAGATACGAACACCAAAGAACGTTTTGGTTATCTCACTCCTAATATTTCCATTATATTCATCTTAATACCTAGTTCAAAAACATAGTTTTGTCTCCCAAATAATTTTTTTACAAGAAATCTCCATTAAAAACGAGAATTCAAATCATTTAAGAGAGTTAATTAATAAAAGATTAATGATTTCACTTTTTTCTTCAATTTTAGCAATCTGAAGTGCGTTTAAATAAAAAGATTTAAATTAAATTTCATTCAAAAAAATGAATAATTTGAAATACCATTAAAAAGATAAATTATGAATTATTTCAGCATCATCTTTCTTTTGTTGTAATTCCATGTTAAAATCAAATTCTTTTGCTTTTTCTAAA